TTCCCCTCATCTCCTCTCTCTCTCTCGCCGACCCACCCCGTCGCCCCCTCGACCGAATCACCTCGAGAAAGCCCTCGTTCCCCCACCCGCTTGACGGAACCTCACCGTGCCCTTGTCCCTCGCCGACCCTCACCGTGCCCTCGTCCTCGCCGACCCTTGTCATGCTCTCGTCCCTCGCCGACCCTCACAGCCAAAGGGTCGTGCCCTCTTTCAGGTATAAGATCTCGATCTCTATAAGATCTTGTTTTCTTGTTCTTTGATTTTGAGAAATTAGGGCGTAATATCCAGAGTCTCCCTCTCTTTGGTATTTAATCGGGGCATAGTTTGATCTGTTAGATTCTAGGTTTGTTTGTTTATTCTATAAAGATTGGCTATTTTTACACTTGATTGTGTTTCTAAATTCTTGTAAAAGTTCATGCATGTGCTGGCGAAATCTTGGTCTTTTGATCTCATTCTTTATTCTGAATTTAAGTTAATTTTAGCAATCTCTTAATTGAGGAAAAATCACAGTGCATATAGTTAGCAGCAAAATATAGAACTATTTGGGAGGGTATAACCGTATAAGTGTTGTTGGTATAAATTACAAGCAAAACTTGATATTAGCAGTATGTGCGCATGAATGTGTTACAAAGGTTTACTACTTTGATCCATGGTTTTTCTGTAGATTTCTCATTGCATCTTAAGCGAACTATCAAAATTAAGTTGTCTTTCAAAGAATGCAGTTTCATTTGTTTATTGCTTCCTAATTACTGATGTATTATTCTATTTTTAGTTTGTTGATTCAATGTATATTGGATTATGATATTGTTTAGTCAAGTTGTTATGCACTGGGGGATACACAAAATGCTTTGAAACACTATCATAAACCTGGCTAAAATCATGATGGGTAGACATAAGGGCATTATGAATATTTGTTGTCATATTTGTAGGCATCGAAAATTACCTATAGGTCTCCACGAATAGCTCAGTGTTAAGGAATGACGATGAACGTCACTATCCGGTTCACAGGAGTTCAATTGATGTCGATGAACGCTTGAAGTAAATCGACGAACTACGTGAACTAACGAAGGTACAGGCTAATCGGGAGCCCCGCGATGTTTATAAAAGGAACAATGCCCTTTGTGCCTCATTCATTCTACAGATGATCCAACCATCGGAGCTTATAGAACACCTCGTCGGCTTTCCAACGCACTTCGAATCACTCAAATCCGAGTTCGGACGAAGGAATTACGACGGAAACCGTCAAAAACACCAAAAGGAGTGTCTCAGACCAACGAGACACCCTTCGGTGTCTCGGCCAAGGCCGAGACACCCTAGGGTGTCTCGGCCCAAACCGAGACACCCTAGGGTGTCTCGGATCAATGGGAGACACCCTAGGGTGTCTCCGAACAAGTGGAGACACCCTGGGGTGTCTCCAAGACAGATTTGGGCTTTTAAGCATTTTTAACCGCTCCGTTATCCCCTCAAGCCTATAAATACAAGCCTTAGGCCTCATTTTTTCAGATCTGGATTTTTGGAGAGTTGGCGAAGCCCTGCAGGAGTGAAGAGTGATCGAACACTTCAACGCAAGAGAGTTCTTCGTCAGATCTACATCACCTGTACCCGATCCTTAGTATTATCCCGTTGTGGTAATACTAAGAAGAGCAAATATCTCGCTTTTATCGAGATAGGCACTTCAAGTTTCTAGATCTCCTCACGGATCGACGAAGCTCTGGATCAGATCTGATTGCCAGGTAGTCCACGGATATCAACATCCCCGTCACAGGCTAAAGACCCACGCAAGCAAGAGACGACGAACGGATCTTGTGTTTATTTTCAAGAAAGTTGTAATCTTTTTATTCTTAGTTTGATCAACAGAAGTTTGAAGAGTACCTCTCTTCCTCCTCCTCCAGATCCGCCTCTCCAAACAGGCACATGAAGACTTCATCTTCCAAGAAGTTTGACATCATGGCGCAGTTGGCTAATATACCAGCTAGGATAACCCTGTACGAATTGTTGCGTCTTTCAAAAGACACGAGGAAAGCATTGCAGGAAGCCTTGAGCGACTCCGAAGCTTTCTTGACTCGAATCAAGCCGTCTTCTGGAGAACCGGAACCATCAGTTCAACATTGTAATCTCGCGGCACATCATTTTCCCTGCATCTCCTCCACCAAAGAAGACATGCAGACGAAGAATTCAAAGCACGATCGGCCTCTATACTTCACCGGCCACATTGGCTCCAGCGTTGTTAACCGGATCCAAGTCGATCCGGGTTCCGCTGTCAGTATCATGCCATTCCGACTGATGCATAATCTTGGAATACCAACAAGCAAACTGGCGACCACAGTGGGAGCCAACGGCCTCGCTGCCGAGGCCATCGTGATGCAACCTACAATCAAGATCCGGGTGAACGAAGAGATCGAATACGAGTTTGATCAACAGAAGTTTGAAAAGTACCTCTCTTCCTCCTCCTCCAGATCCGCCTCTCCAAACAGGCACATGAAGACTTCATCTTCAAAGAGTGCTCGCGGGCCCTCAGGATCGAAGATCCAAGATTCCCTCGCCGCCGCTACACCCATGGATGGCGTCTAAGAAGGTCGAAGCTGCAGATCCAGATCTCCCTTCCGCCGCGAAGTCAACTGCTGAAGGTGTTCCAACCTTGTCAAAGAGGACGCGCCAAAGACGGCGTCAATGCCTTGCGCGACAACTGGCCAAGGCCGCAGAATCGATGGATAGGATCCACTACAATGAGGATCTAAAGTCCAGACAGCGCCAGGAGCAACAACGGCGAACAACCAACTCCTCCTCCAAGACAGAGACGAAGGAATGGGTTCGTGTCAAGAGGACTCGCTCAACCCTCGAAGAGCGAATCAAGAAACGCCGCGCATTGCTTGCGCATGCCCGAGTCCTTCTGCAGAAAGCGGAAGAGATGCAGAAAGAAGAGACGGTCAAGAAGCCGTCAAAACACAAGCAAGTGTGGGTGCCAAAGGCAAAGCCGGCACCTAAGACAAAAGGGGACGGAGGTATCGTCCAGCCTTCCTCAAATCCAGATCCCGTTTCCCCTGCTCCCGTACCTCCGGCGGAGCCAGGTAAGAACGTGGATTCTTCAAGATCCAGGGTTCTTTTGAAAGGTCGCCTCGGTCCTTTACCAGAAGATCGAGGCAAAGCACCTATCAAGGAGCGATTGGGACCGTTGAAAGGTCCCCAAACAACGAACCAGACTGGGGGTCGTGCTAATCCCCCCAAGAAAGATAACAAAGGGAAAGCCCCTGTTACCGACCGCATTGGATTGCGGGTTGAAATTCAAGAGCCCGTTAAATTTTCACGCTCGCAAAAGCGTAGACTTGAACGAGCGACTTTTGAAAACGCTAATAAAGCGTCGTATCCCCAGAGGGAAGCACCTTCGTCTGATGATGATGGTGTTATACCTGGGAAGTCATGCCAATACTCTATGAGTTGCTCCAGTTATCAAACTGACGAGTTGTACTATAGAGCTGGGGGTATGAATAACTCTCAGAAGAGAGACACCAGAGACATGGATTCTCATTGTCCGTGTGCCAACATAATCAAGGCGGTGCTGTCGGAATGCTGCTGTACTAAAGCCCCAAGGAGAGTTTCTGTGTTCGAGAGGATTTCTACTAGAACACCCGAAAACAAGCCAAGGCGTTTCCGTAGGAAGAAGCCTGTCCGCCAAGAGGACGAGTTCCTAGAGGTGTCTGCTAATATGACTGGCAGAGGGAAATCGACACGACACTCTAGCTCAGATCAACTTGCCGAAACATCCCAACACATGACTCGATTGCGGTCAGGGATCAATAGGCGAAAGAATTACCAAAGGATGCAAAAGGGACTTCCTATGGAAGAGGAGGCGTCAGATGCTGGTTCAGACTCCTACTCGGCTATAGCATCCGATGACACGGCATCTAGTGCAGGACAACCCTACGAGTCACTTATGATCAGCGCCGAACAAGTAACCAAGATGCTTGAAGATGCATTGACTAAGCAGAAAGAGGCATTCAAGTTCGAGATGGAGATGGCTATGCAGCAGATGAGAGAGATGTATGACCAGAAAATCGCGTCACTGACAACTCACCAAGGAGAACCCAGTCGTCGTAATAATCCGAATCAAGAGGAGAATGAACGGGAAGAAGATAATGTCAACATAACTATTATCCCTCCTGTCAACAACAATAACGGAGGCGGTCCCTTGGATGATAATGCGAAAGAGGACCACGTTACCTCTTGTCAACAACAATAACGGAGGCGGTCCCTTGGATGATAATGCGAAAGAGGACCACGTTACCTCTCCCAGGAGCCACTCGAAGACAGATACGAGTGAAGACAAGAAAATAAAGGACTTGGAGAGAAAAATCAACGCGTTGATGAATGCTCAAGAAGTAAAGAGGTCCGGCATACCATGTCCATACCCAAGGGAGTGGGAATCAATTCCATATCCGGCAAAGTTCAATTTAATCAACTTTACGCCGTTTGATGGAAAAGGCTCCCCTACCCAACACTTAATATATTTTAAGTCACACTTAGGAATAATCTCCGGGAATGAACCCTTAATGGTGCGGTTATTCGTTGGCACTCTTCGTGGAGCGGCCTTCGATTGGTATCGTCGCCTCAAGCCGGGGAGTATCAGCAGTTGGGACGACATGGAGGATATGTTTCTAACGAACTTCTTCGACGACTACACCGAGATCTCAATCGACACTCTATTTGATGAGAAGCAGAAGAATGGTGAGACAGTCAAAAACTTCGTGAAGAGATTCCGAAATAAAGTAATGAATTACAGGGATCCGGTCAGCGAAGATTTCATCCTCGAGACCTGTCATAATAATCTTTCATTGGACATCCTGGAAGCTATGGGAATGGCACCGCCAAAGACCTGGAAGGACTTAAAGGTGCGAGGAGAACGAGCCGAACGATTCCTCAAAAGGAAGAACAATCCCGAAGGTAGCAAAAGACTTCGGAACCCAAACTCCAAAAAGAGTATTCCTTCAAGGACGAAGACGTTCCAGCCATCTTCGAATCCCTCCTTGAAAACAACAAGATCAAGGTACCACCTATCGTCAATCAGGAGGAAGCTGACAATACTGCGGATCCGAAGTACTGCGCATATTACAGGAGGATCCTTCATCCCACCAAGGCGTGCTTTACTTTAAAGAACAGCATCCAAATCCTGATTGAAGCCGACGTTATATCGCTCAATTAAGTCAAAACAACACTCCAAAGAGTATACGAGTATAAACTGTTTCTCAATCCTCCAACAGGTGCAAGAGGTTAAACTGTTCCCTGCATACTCCAATAGGTATATGAGTCTAAACTGTTTCCATAAACTGCTTCTTAAGACTCCGACAAGTATAAGAGTATAAACTGCTTCTTAAGACTCCGACAAGTATAAGAGTATAAACTGCTTCTTAACACTCCGATAAGTATAAGAGTATAAACTGCTTCTCAATCCTTCGACCGGTATAAGAGGTTAAACTGCTCCCTGATACTCCAACATATATATGAGTCTAAACTGTTTCATTTCTTTCACGGGAAGTTCTTGGAGAATTTTTATATGTAATATTCTTAAGGATAACCCGATCATATAACTGAGTACAATGTTGGACCCAGTTCCACAAGGGAAGCTGGGGGTGGATTATTCATGTATCGGGAAGTTCCCGAAAGAATATCACGGGTGATATTCTTAGGGATAACCCAATCACTATAAAAGTGATAAGTAAAACATCCACATTTAAACTCTAAAGGTTGGAATGTTTTCCATTATTGTTATCAAATTCACTAATTCTCATGAGTTATCTTGTTGAGACGAGATTCGATCCTTTTGACAGATTAATCTTTCCTCACAAAAATCCCCCACTGATCAAGTCAATTGACGGTGGGTCCACTAAATTTTCTGTCCGCCAATTCATGGCAATTTCCAAAGCTTGACGTGTTAAGTCCTGATTACTTAACGTCAAAACCCTTCATCGAGTGGCCAGCACAAACCAGTATTTCTACTGCTACTTGTATTCCACTCCCTGTCCGTTCGGTCAAACCTTCCTACAGTTAGGACCATCGGATCGCCCTCGCAACGGAGATGACGACGGAGGAACAACATCAGAAGCGTCTCGAAGAGCTCGAGAGGCTGGATGAAAAGCGTTTGGAGGCTCAACAACACATCGAGTTTTACCAAGCCAGGATGTCAAGGGCTTTTAACAAAAGAGTCCGACAGAGAAGCTTCAAGGAAGGAGATCTGGTCCTCGCTGCTCGCCGACCAATAATTCTCACCTCCAAGAAGAAAGGTAAATTCGAACCCAAATGGGAAGGACCGTTTGTAATAGACACAGTCTATTCAAACGGCGCATATCGCCTGATTACTCAAGAGGGCGCCAGGCAATTAATGCCAATAAATGGGAAGTTCCTGAAAAAGTACTATCCCTAGTACATTCAGGATAACTCGTTTACCGGGAAGTTCCTTGAAGAATATTACACTTAATATTCTAGAGGATAACCCAAAATCATTGTCACCACCAAAATCCCTCACTGATCAATTTCAATTGACAGTGGGTCCACCAAAAATGTTTTTTCTGGCCCTCTTGATTCTCTCCATGAGCAAGAGGTCCACTTTCAGTTCGGAGTCCCTTTTCGATAAACGAAAGAACTCCTTCCCTTTTTCTCTTTGGTTAAACCTTGTTCATGGTTATAACCGGAGTTGAAAATTCCACTTCGATAAACGAAGAACCCATTTTCAGTTTAGATAACTCATCCTATAAAAGGCAAGTTTATCTAAATTTTCCAGATTCTCGGAGTGGACACCCCACTTCTAGTTTCTTCTTCGCTGGAAATAGAATATAAAATTCTTCCTTTCCAGGATCAGGGAATAGAATATAAAATTCTTCCTTCCTTGTTTTCGGGTTCGCCTTCACCCTAAAAGAAGACCGGGAAATAGAATATGAAATTCTTCCTTTCCCGCACCGCTCTTTCCAAAATTTGTCGATTTAGGATTCATCCTAGGAAGTTTATCCCGAATCCTAAGCAGGGATAAGTCTGCGCCTAGCACGTGCTGCCGGTTTAGTCTTTCTCTGTAGAAAAAGACACCGGAGTTCGATTCTGGGGTATCCTATCCTGAAACCTAAGCAGGGATAAGTCTGCGCCTAACCCGCGCTGCGGTTTAGTTCTTAACCGTTAAAAAGAACACCCGCCCACATATTCAACATTGTGGCAGGTTGTTATTAATAACACCAAAATCCATGCCTTACACGCATGGGGAATGTCATCCTGAATCCTAAGAAAGGATATGCCGACGCCTAACACGGGTCGCCGGTTTAGTCTTTTACCGATTGAAAAAGACCTGCGCCTAACCCGCGTAGCTGGTTAGTTCTTAACCGTTAAAAAGAACACCCGCCCACATATTCAACATTGTGGCAGGTTATTATTAATAACACCAAAATCCATGCCTTACACACACGAGGAATTTCATCCTGAATCCTAAGAAAGGATATGCCGACGCCTAACACGCGTCGCCGGTTTAGTCTTTTTCCGAACAAAAAGACACCAGAGTCCGATTCTGGGGTATTTTATCCCGAAGCCTAAGTAGGGATAAAGTCAACACCTAACACGTGTTGCCGGGTAGCCTATTCCCGTAACAATGGCGAAGTCTATGTATTCGACATCATAGCACGAAGTCTAAGGGAGTTCATTCCCTTAGCACAACGTTACATGCGGAACGGATTCCGATAATCCGCATGCTAGCCCGACTCAAACGGTAGTCGGTAAAGGCTAATCAAACCCGTTGAAGGCTGGGGGTTAGCCAAAAATCCTAAAGTCAACACTTAACACGTGTCGCCGGGTAGCCTATTCCCGTAACAATGGTGAAGTCTATGTATTCGACATCATAGCACGAAGTCTAAGGGAGTTCATTCCCTTAGCACAACGTTACATGCGGAACGGATTCCGACAATTTTGCATGCTAGCCCGACTCAAACGGTAGTCGGTAAAGGCTTATCAAACCCGTTGAAGGCTGGGGGTTGGCCAAAAATCCTAAAGTCAACACCTAACACGTGTCGCCGGGTAGCCTATTCCCATAATAAATGGCGAAGTCTACGTATTCGAAGTCGTAGCGCCAAGTCTAAGAGAATTCACTCTCTTAGCACAACATTACATGCGGAACGGATTTAGACAATCCGCATGCTAGCCCGACTCAAACGGTAGTCGGTAAAGGCTCATCAAACCCGTTGATGGCTGGGAATTTGCCAAAAATTCTATAAGTGCGAGTTATTGATGCATCAGCTCTGTTAGTTGGTCTCGTGACTCAATTATCCAATAATATTAAAATAAGATCCACAAATGTAGATGAATCAGCTTTAACAGTTGGTCCTACAACCCCGACACTTGGGACCGCCGTGCTCCAATACCTTAAGAGCTTAAACTGTGTATACTCCAGTAAACGTACGAGTATAAACTGTGTCAACGTACGACGTTCGAAACCCTAGGGTCAACGCCGGTCAACGTGTAACCCTAGGTCAACGTCAGTCAACGCGTTGCGACTAAAAAGTCAACGTTCGACGTTCGAAACCCTAGGGTCAACGCCGGTCAACGCGTAACCCTAGGTCAACGCCAGTCAACGCGTTACGACCAAAAGTCAACATACGGTGATCGAAAACCCTAAGTCAACGCAATGTGACAGAGATAGTCAGTTCAAAGTCAATGACACGAGTCAAACTCAACTCACTGGTGATAGACTCAAGACTCCGACGACGGTCAGGCGATAAACGCAGCGCCGGAAGAACTTCAGCTATTCGTCAAAGCATTGAATAGACCGAAAATCGAAGGAGTCAAGAGTTGAAGCTAACTACAGGTTCTTTACGCCGACTGAAGGCTAGACCAATCACATCCAAAGTATTCCAGCCTCTTCTATAAAAGAAACGAGTCTGGAACGCTTTGGAGATAGGTCTCCACGAACAGCTCAGTGTTAAGGAATGACGATGAACGTCACTATCCGATTCACAGGAGTTCGATTGATGTCGATGAACGCTTGAAGTAAATCGACGAACTACGTGAACTAACGAAGGTACGGGCTAATCGGGAGCCCCGCGATGTTTACAAAAGGGATAATACCCTTCGTGCCTCATTCATTCTACAGATGATCCAACCATCGGAGCTTATAGAACACCTCGTCGGCTTTCCAACGCACTTCGAATCACTCAAATCTGAGTTCGGACGAAGGAATTACGGCGGAAACCGTCAAAAACACCAAAAGGAGTGTCTCCGACCAACGAGACACCCCCCCCTCGGGTGTCTCGGCCCAAACCGAGACACCCTAGGGTGTCTCGGATCAATGGGAGACACCCTAGGGTGTCTCCGAACAAGTGGAGACACCCTGGGGTGTCTCCAAGACAGATTTGGGCTTTTAAGTATTTTTAACCGCTCCGTTATCCCCTCAAGCCTATAAATACAAGCCTTAGGCCTCATTTTTTCAGATCTGGATTTTTGGAGAGTTGGCGAAGCCCTGCCGGAGTGAAGAGTGATCGAACACTTCAACGCAAGAGAGTTCTTCGTCAGATCTACATCACCCGTACCCGATCCTTAGTATTATCCCGTTGTGGTAATACTAAGAAGAGCAAATATCTCGCTTTTATTGAGATAGGCGCTTCAAGTTTCTAGATCTCCTCGCGGATCGACGAAGCTCTGGATCAGATCTGATTGCCAGGTAGTCCACGGATATCAACATCCCCGTCACAGGCTAAAGACCCACGCAAGCAAGAGACGACGAACAGATCTTGTGTTTATTTTCAAGAAAGTTGTAATTTTTATTTCTTTGTTGTTTGAATTCATTTGTAACGTTTGAAGTTTTAATAAAATCAATGATGAAGGCAACTTTCGACGAAAACAATATTCTAATACTATACCATTATATTCTAATATTATATCACCTTATAATGGCAAGTCCCCAAACATTACACATGTATAAGAGATGTTAATAACAAATCGGACCCAATGAATTATTCAAAATTTAACTTACTATAGTCCCCAATACTATTATATCTCAGGAGTACTATAGTGAGTTAAATTAGTCACATGATAAAACAAATTTCTAATCCGAACATGGTTTGAGGGGAAGTGTTATACGAGGATTTAGTTTATATAGAAAGTTGTTATATTTAGAAAATTATTTATTAATTAGTTTCTTGTGTCATAGAAGTATCCTTATGTACTTAACATTTAGATTAGTACTCTATTATAAATAAGGGTAAAGAGGAGAGGTAAATTATCTCTTTGAATTTCATTGGTTAATGTCGGTTATTTGCCAATTACATGTAGAGGGTCAAGTGAAAGTTTGTATATTGATATATTTTGTATCTATACATAGAATGTTGCTATATGCTTAAACATATGTTTCTATACACATGCAATTGAAAAATAAATAAATTGTTGATATATTCAAGATACCATATTTTAGAAAACACGTCTTCAATTCATCCTATTTCATCATATCTAAACTGTGATATGGTTCCTAAGGATGAACCATATATGGATGGTTCCTAAGAAATTATCTTATTGAAAATATAAGCGTTAGATTTTACTCCCACATAATTTATGTTTTGACAATTTTCCCTCCGAAATTATTATAATTTGAATTTCTTTGATGCGTTACTAATAAAAATTCACATTACCTAATTATGCTTAATCCCGTACCATTATATGCAGATCCTCCAGTGTTACTTCGAGCATATATTCCCGGGATTGAGCGCCGGCCTTTACCAGCATGTGCAGAGGGGTACAGACTCAAGCAGACAGAAAAATACATGCTTGCGAAAAAACGATTGGATGAATAAGGCCCACAGATTGATGAGATATTATCTGATGCAAAAAAATAAAATCAGACAAAGATTTGGTGAGTTTGATCAAAATTTTTGAGTATTTCATAATAATAAATTAAATTCTAAGAGCTTAAGATTGATTAAATAAAAGTGTTGATATATTTATTATTTTTTCTTTGTTGTAGAAAAACAACTTTACCAGAAAAAAGGACGCTAAGGAAGTGACTTTAAAAAAAGTTACCAACGGATGGTTTTCGAGCAATTGTGAGATGGGGACATAATAGGATTCCAACCGGACAATGGGCTAATAACTTTAGCTCATACCTTAGATACTTGATACGGAGGAGTGATAATGTGAATCCTTATTACGAGGCTGAGGAGCAACCATTTCATGTCCTGGAGAGTATATATCGAGATTGTTGGGTAAATTCTTCTATTTAGCACAATTATTTTCAATTCTGTCAATTGTCCATGCTTAACTATATGTTAATTTTTTAGAGAAATTTCAACATTGAAGACAATCCCGTAGGGTGGGAATTTTTATTTGGATACATAGGAAAGTTCAAGCATTCTCTTCGGGAGTGGAGACATGAGATAAAGAAGAAATGCTTTGATTGTTTCACTCACAACTGGGAGAGGATATACAAACGAAATAAGAGGGTTGAGCCTGAGCACTTAGCTATACTTATAGTATTGTGGGGCCAAGAGGAGCATCAGGTAAATATGTATAGTAGTTAATTATCATCAAGTTATTTATCTGAAACTAGTGATATATTCCATTGTATATTATACCATGTACTAAAATTCTCTTTGTTCATGTTGAAGAAAAAATGTCAGAGAAATAAACTAAATCGATGGAAGAAAGATTATGATCATCATACGGGGACTACTTCATTTGCCCAGATTGAGGATCAATTTTGTAGGATAATGGTATAAAGTCTTTTAATCTTCTATATATATTCTCTCCGCTTCCTAGAATATTTGATAAATAAAACTAATAAATATATTTTTAAATCTCTCTCAGAATGCTCCCTTTATCCCGCTACCAGAACTGCACGGGAGGACGATGGTTCACTTTAGGAAGGGGTACGATGACAATGAGAATAAGAAACAAAAGCTAGAATTGGCAAAGAAAATGCAGGTTAACTAATTATCTTAGCTCTTATTAGCCTGTTCTTTTGTTGGAAATTTATTGTTTGCACTCTTCTTTTGGTCATCTTAATTATCATACATGAATTATATGTGTGAATGTGTTAAGGAAGATGCATGCATACATACCATTTATTAGCACTTAGCCCCCTCAATTATGGAACTACTTCATCTTTTATTATACTTGTTCAGGTAAATATATCTTTTATTTTTGAAAGGTCAATTCTTAAATTTATTTTTTTGTCTTTTAGGAAGCTCTGGAAAATACATATGCTGAGGTTGTTGCACAGAGCCAGGAGCCCCTGACTAGAGAGTAGAATTATAATATGAGCCATTTAGTTTGTGAACTTTTCAAAAAGGGGAGGACCAGGTGGATGTGAGTTGGAGCTCAGAGGGTGTCTACACCATTCTAGCCTCCGCCGATTTTAACGCCATCAACTATGCTCTCGGCGCCCTCTTACATGCCGCAGGAGGATTGCACTCAGTAGGCGATGCAGCTTGTTTCCTCTGTGATGAATATGTTAGATGGTCAGATTCCCGAGGAGATGTGGGAGGATATTCAAGAGGAGCTTATGCGAGTGATCCACCCTACAGCTACTTTTGCGGGTTTCCAGGTAAATAATGAAATCTTGTAAAAGGCGGGTTCCTACTCGGGTGCAAAGCCAGATTATGAACTTTTTGGCTACTCAAAAGGCATTTACTGGTAGTGGAGAGAGTAGCAGACATGTATACTTATTATATATGTAAAACATGATTACACACAATATTATATAATTCTAAATTTAAATTATTTTGTTGTTAGAGTGGAGATGATGCTATTGGGAGCACGAGTCATAGGGATGGAGCCGCCAGTGGCAACGCGGACGATAACATGGATAGGGCGGATGACCTATCTTAGTGAGTTATATCCTAAACTCGTGTTTGTATATTGGACATCTTTATATTGGAGATTATGACATGCATGTATGGTTTGTTGTGGAAATTTTTGTGGATTTAGAACTTATGATATGCGTGTATGGTTTATTGTGGATTTTTTTGTGGCTTTAGAACTTATCGTGAAAATTGAATGTACATATTTCGAATGTTTGTGAAAATTGATTGGATGAGAGATGTTTGTGAAATTTGGATTGTATATATTTTGAGATGTTTGAATGTGCAAGAAATGTCGTTGTTTGAAGATTTATATGTATAGGGAATTGATATGTATATGGAACTAATTATAATCAGTAAAAAAAATTTAGCTGCTAATACCTATCACTGACGGAAATCCCGTCAGCGATAAGTATCGCTGACGGGATTACCATCAGCGATGTATATAACATCACCGACGGGAATCCCGTCAGCGAAAGGTTATCGCTGACGGGATTCCCGTGACGATAATCCCGTCAGCGATATGTATCGCTGATGAGATTCCCGTTAGCGGTTGTGGGTTCAGCGCTGATGAATTGTCGTCAGCAACAAACATCACTGACGGGAGCTCTGTCAGCGATATACATAACATCGCTGACGGGATAGCCGTCAGCGATGTTTCATTATCGCTGACGGCATTTGCCGTCAACGTTATTACCGTCAGTAATATACATTACTGACGGCATCCCGTCAGGGATAATTCTTCCCTGACAGGACTATTACTGACGGTGTATCCTTGACGGGAAGCCGTCAAGGATATTTATTGCCGACGAGGATTTAGGCATTCTTGACGGGAATGCCCGTCAACGATTCCTGGTTTTTCACTAGTGTTCACTAAACTCCAATAAAGTCTCCATATTTCCTTAATAACCCTGTTCAACCCCCCAACCAAAACATTTCTAGGGTTCTTACACTACTTCCATACGATTCGAGTGATCGACACAATAATTAGAGGAGCTGTCATTTCTAAACTAGCTCTCTAACCACTCATGAATCTATACCAATGACCAAATTTATCTGAAACCCCCATAATATCCCTTTCACGTGGCTACAACACCAATCTAAAGTCAAATATCAAATAAATATGGATTTTTTTAGTATTAGTCCTTTTAGTCTTTCATATTTTAAAATTAGTCCCTCAAATCAACAATACTTATCAATATCCAATGTCCATTCACTATGAACCTCTGGTGCTTTTAAAACTCCTAAAGAATAAATTCAGATAATTATTAATATTAAACATCTCATGATCATACACTTGCTAAATGAACTAATACTAAACTAGAGCAGATCATCTTCTAATAAATTTTATATATATATATATATATCACAAAGGGATAAACTAGTGGTCAAAAGCAATCATAAGTATTGAATTTGGATTTAAGTGTAAGTACTAATCCTATGGTGTATGGAATATAGATACACACTTGTTACGGCCACACAATATTAATCTGTTATGAAGCTCGCTGACTCTCTAATCAAAACTGAACTTAAGCTCTTGTTAAAGCAATTAAATTATACAACTAATTTAATTCAGATTATATCAGCCTATAAACTCTAATTATATTATTAATAAATCATATCATATCATATCATATCATACTCCTTTTAAAAGAGAGAGTTAAGGAAAAACTTTCCAATGACTATATTACCCTTATTTTTTTTAATATAAATCATCTTTTAACCCAAAGTTTTACCCCCACTTATTTAAAAACCCATCCACTTTTCTAAACATTAATAAACCCATTGTACCCATATGACCTATTTTTAAACCCAATGTCTATTATACCTCTCCATCTTTATACTGTATTTTACCCAAATTTGAAATACCCAATACTACCCTTTCTCTCTTCTTCTGATCACCGCTAACAGCAGAGCATCAATGAGATAATGGCAGGAGAAAACGGCGGGCTTCTCTCCCACTTCATCAACTCCCAATTTGGTACTCATCTTCAATTACTCTCTCCTTCTCTCTCTCCTCCATTAATTCCCCTCTCTTCTTGAGCAATCTCTCTCCTCCATTAATATTTCTCCTCATAGATGACACTAATCCTACATCAATAGCTTGTTAACATTTTGAAATTATTAGGTTTTCCAATACTGTATGTTTTCCAATACTATATGTTAACTTTTAAAATTTTGGGTTTTTTTGGCAATAGCTTGTTAAAGATGTCTTGTTCTTATAAATTGATGGATTCTTATCAAGCTTATGCTTCATGAAATGGTATGTGCATTACAATTTTGCTCATATATATCTATGTTTTGGTGACTAGGTTGATGCACAAAAGGTGTTTCATGGAATGACAAAATGGATGTAGTTATTTGGACCACAACGATTAGCGGTTATGCCATATTGCTATTGGTTGAGGAGGCAATAGAGGTGCTTGATGAAAAGTCTAAGAGAAGTTTGGTTTTGTGGGCCGCCATGATCTTAGCCCATCGGTATGCCTTCCTACGCCCTCCGGATGCACCTCACCATTTTCTATTGTCGTCAACACCTAACGTAATGCACAGCTACCCCTCAATCAGAAACCATTCGTCAACGCACACTAACTTTCGAATCAAATACATGAGAGAATCCCCCACTATTGGCATTCGATCAGATCTTCGCATTGCTGTAACATTGCAACCCAAACGGCAAATCAACTACAGCCTGCAATATGATGTACCAAGTAGTATCCAATGTATCGTGTTGTATGAAATTTTCTATATTATGTATATATAGATGATTTGTGTGTATATTGTATCAAATGCACTATCCAATGTATCATGTTGTATCAAATTTATCAGTGTAACTAGTAGAAATGTATCTAGTAGAAATGTATACAACGTTTTGATAGTGGTGATTTTGGATTATTTCCATTCAATCTTCATGGATTATTTTCATTCAATGTTATGTGCTTGAGTTTAGTGGTTGATAGATATGAATATCTGTAATGAACTGATGCACTGATTGAACTGAAAAAATTTTGATGGTAGGTTGTGGTAAGTACAGCCTATTGGGCAATATTACGTGTCGCATGACCAATTATCCACCTCGACGAGGGGTACTCGCCTAATTTTTTAGCTTTTGATAAAGTATAGCACTTTATGGAAAAGTATAGCAGCTTATTGATGAAGTATAGCACCTTATGGCAAAGTATAGCACCTTATGGCAATAGTATAGCACCTTATCGATAAAATATAGCACCTTATGGTCGCTGGAAATTCAGCAACTTATTGTGATAAGCCAAATCAGTTTTTTTAGGGCAATGCAAACACTCGACGACCTACGTGACGTGTTTATTGACCAATCATCCACCGTGACGGGGGGTCCTCGCGTAATTTTAAAGCTTCTGGGCAAAGTATAGCACCTTATGGGAAAGTATAGCACCTTTTGGCCAAAGTATAGCACTATATTGTAAAGTATAGCACTTTATTGGCAAAGTATAGCAACTTATTGGCAAAATATAGCACCTTATGCTTTCTGGAAATTCTGCACCTTAAGTGTCTAAAATCAAATCAGTTTTTTTCGCCACGACGAAACCTATCGACGACCTACATGACGTGTTTATTGACCAATCATCCACCGCGACGGGGGGTCTTCGAGCAATTTTGAAGCTTCTGGGCAAAGTATAGCACCTTATGGGAAAGTATAGCACCTTTTGGCAAAAGTATAGCACTATATGGCAAAGTATAGCACTTTATTGGCAAAGTATAACACCTAATTGGCAAAGTATAGCACCTTATATTTTTTGGAAATTCTGCACCTTAAGTGTCTAAAATCAAATCAGTTTTTTTCGCCGTGACGAAACCACTCGACGACCTAGGTGACGTGTTTATTGACCAATCATCCACCGCGACGGGGGGCCCTCGCGCAATTTTGAAGCTTCTGGGCAAAGTATAGCACATTATGGGAAAGTATAGCATCTTTTGGCCAAAGTATAGCACTATATTGTAAAGTATAGCACTTTATTGGCAAAGTATAGCACCTTATTGGCAAAGTATAGCACCTTATGCTTTCTGAAAATTCTGCACCTTAAGTGTCTAAAATCAAATCAGTTTTTTTCGCCGCGACGAAACCTCTCGACGACCTACGTGACGTGTTTATTGACAGATCATCCACCGCGACGGGGGGTCCTCGAGCAATTTTGAAGCTTCTAGGCAAAGTATAGCACCTTATGGGAAAGTATAGCACCTTTTGGCCAAAGTATAGCACTATATGGCAAAGTATAGCACTTTATTGCCAAAGTATAGCACCTTATGCTTTCTAGAAATTCTGCACCTTAAGTGTCTAAAATCAAATCAGTTTTTTTCACCGCGACGAAACCACTCGACGACCTAGATGACGTGTTTATTGACCAATCATCCACCGCGACGGGGGGTCCTCGCGCAATTTTGAAGCTTCTAGGCAAAGTATAGCACCTTA